CCTTATTTCTGTCCTTTGTTTTTAGTAGGATACTAGTTTTAAATACAGGATTATATAGCCACGATTTGGTTGTCTTCAGGAAATAATATAACTCCCAGTTTATGCTCGCTAATGGAAATTTCAGCATGGCCATACTCATTCATGAATCTATAGATAATCATTCCTTCGGTGCTGAAATCCCATGAAGTTCAGACACATTAAAAATGGACTATTCCTGCACCTCTTCATCTATATTTCCCTTTGTATTTGTAGTATCCACTACAGGTTGAACCTCCAAAAACTGGGACTCCCTTGTCCGGCAACATCCATGGTGCAGCAGGACCAAGGATGTTCCTGGAGCAGAGAATCCTGGCTGGGAGCCCCAGTGGCAAGAGGGCTGGCGGCCCCGGTAGCACAGCTGGGGCTGCAGCAGCCCTGATAGGAGGGCCGGGGATATGGCAGCCACAGGAGCCCTGGTAGCAGAGGTGTGACTGGGGATGTGGTAGTCTGGACCTCTGGGGCTACAGCAGGATGGCAGCCCTGCATTGGGGATGGCTAGGGCTGGCAGCGGGGAGGGAAGGTGGGCTGGGGGGCTGGTAGCAGGGGACCTCTCTTGATCTGGCAAATTCCCTAGTGTGGGATCAATCAGGCCCAAAGGGTGCTGGGCCAGAGTGGTCCAACCTGTATATATTTTGAAGAATTTTTTTGTGATTTGTTTGTGCAAAATAAAGTCACACTTTGCTATTACCTACCAATGCCAAGTCTGCATAAACAATCCTCCCACTCAAATCAACTGGCTGCTCTACTTTTAACACCAGAATATGCTGGGTGAGTTTTTTGTGAAGGAAAAACAAAAATAACGATCACTATTATGACTGGAGTTCATAAAAAAAATTTGCTAACAAAATTAAAATCAAGTTGCCTATTCAACTGCCATTTTAGTGCAAAGAAAAATGTTACTGTTACAAATCATGGAAAGAGTAATGGAAGCTTTACGAGTTTCTGATTCAAATTTACGATGGTTGGTGGTAATTCAGTAAAATGAATAATGTTTGAAGTTGAAATCTTACAAATTTAAAACTGTTCTTTTACTTCCCTCTTGAAAACACATTAATCCAAAAATTCTATTCCATATATTTAATTCCTTCGACTTTCCTATAAGTGTAATCTACGGAAAATGACTTTGCCGAGCCAATGCTGGGCCTCACCTATTAGTTTCCTATATTTTGAACAGAAAATGACACAGTGAATTTAACTATTATGGGTTGCAAACACCCAGTTACAAGGAGGGTCTGCAGTAGCTCATGTCAACAAGCTTCTTTATTCTCTCACTGCTTCTACCAAAAAAGATGAATTAATTACATTGTGTCTAGGAAACTAAAGTTGGAGCATGTGGCTTTGTATCCCAAAAGCAGTGTCTGTCATTTAACTGGGACAGGAAACCTTCACCCAAAGTGCAAATCCTCCCCATGAAGTCACTGCATCCTTAAATAAGACATAACAGATCAGGGACATAGCAAGACAGAGCAGAAGAATTTATTGCCCCGTGAAAATCATAGGAGAGAACAATAAAGTACTGCAAGTAAGCCAATCTGCAAAGGAACACACCAGCCTTCAGCAGTGAGATCAAGGGGCTATAAGAGACATGTCTGCAGTGTGATCCTCATTTTTCATCTAGCTAAACCAATTAGCTCCTCAGATGCCAAAGTAGCTGCTGCTCGTTCTCAAAAGTCAGCAGCTGTTACCAAATAAGTTTTAAAAGAAAGAGCTTCTTCACACTGACAGTTGAGTTGAAGAGGGGTTTTTTTTAAATAGAATAAGAATTCAGGCTCATAGTGCTAGGGATTCTCAGGGAGCTGCTCTAAAATGGTGGTGCCATTTATTTTATATGTCTCCTATTACCCAATTGTATTGGGAACAAAGGCTGAAAAGATAATAGTATTTACAGTATCGAATAAAGCGCTATGCTGAGGCTTTGGGCTTGTGCTGCCTCCCTTAGGTCCCAATTCACAAAAGCATCTCTCATCAGGGTAGCCTTAAAACATGACCTTCAGCCAGTCTTTCCTGACAGAGGCTACGTCGAGATTGCAGGCTTCTTCTGGAAGCTTTTCCAGAAGAGATCTTCCGAAAAAACATCTTCTGGAAGAACACATCCACACTGGCCAAGCGCATCGAAAAAGCAATCTGCTTTTTCGAAAGAGAGTGTCTAGACTGATTGGATGCTCTCTCACATGAAAGGCCACCAAGAACCACTTCAGGTGGGGCTTTAGGTCACCAGTTGCTTCCGAGTGCTGGTGCTGGAGCCTTGCAGAGAAACATGCTTAAAGGGCCCTCCTGGACATCCATTTCTCTGCTTCTGTTGCATGCTTGCTTACCTCTCTGAGGGACAGCAAAGCTCTTGCAGTGCCTACTTTGGTTGCTCAGTTTTTTTGGATGCCACAGCCTTTGTCTTTGTGCCATGGAGCTGGAGCTCCCCCTGGGCATGTGATGGCCCCATACGCCCAGGATGCAGTTTCCGCAGCACTTTGTGCAGGCTGCCTTCCTGGTCCTGCATGAGCTCAACTCCAAGCTCATTCTCGGACCTTCTCCCAGTGTGTGGGAGCAATAGCCTTGTAACCGCAACCCACAGTGGAGAGGCGTTTCTGGAGGCTGGACACCACTTCCGACTACCGGGGCTTCCTGGTCACTGAGTGGTTGCATGACCAGCAGTGGCTCCAAAACGTCTGCATGCAGAAGGCCACCATTCTGGAGCTGTGTGCCTGGCTCAATCCTGCCCTCTGGTGACGTGACACCCACCTGTGGCCTGCCATCGCCCTGAAGAAGCGGTCTCCATTGCCATATGGGGCTAGCCTCCCCAGACAGTTACCGGTCAGTGGGCAACCAATTTGGCCTGGGGAAGTCCACCATCGGAGCCCTCCTTATGGAGGTAAGGCACTCTGGAGCTGCAGTCTCTGCATGGGGGTTGGGGGGAGTCCTGGAAAAGGGGGACCCTAGGGAAAGGGGGTTGGGTCATCTCGCCCTCACACAGCCCTGCTGCTGGGGGGTGACCTCAAAGGGGATAGCTCATGGGGTGTTTGAAGGGGGGAGGGAATGGGAGAGGGTTGGCACCTCCCAAGGGCTCAGGCATCCCCTCTCTCATTCTCTGGTTTGTGTGTTTGTTTGTCTCCTTCTGTAAGTTGTGAGGGCCATCAACTCTATTCTGCTGCAGAGGGTCATCCACCTGGGAGCCCTGGACCCCATCATGGCTGGATTTGCTGCCTTGGTGTTCCCGAACCGTGGTAGAACAATTGATGGGACCCACATCCTGATCCGTGCATCTTGTCGAAGCAAAAGCCTCACTCAGTTTACGCGGCTAAACAGACAGCTTTATTGATCAGTAAAGCCAAGTGAGCTAAACATGGTCCCAGCAGAGCTGGGCCCAGTAAGGCTGCTAATACAATCAATCCTCGTATCTTTATACCCTTAGCCAAACAGTCTGACGTCAGGGCATCTAATTACAGAAATCATCAATTAAACTAGGAAAAACAAAGTCTTACCAACAAGATGGTGGACAGGTACGAGGGAGTACATCTCCTGTCTGAACCAGCCCAATTAACACATTCTAATAGCCCATCCTGTAGGCCTCTTCTCACAGGGTGACAGAAAGTTCACTCTGGTCTACGTGCAAGAGGGAAAAGCTGAAATGGTTTCTGCTATACAAGATGGCTTCTAGCTAAATATGAAATGGTTTCTACAGTTTCTACAACCTCAACATCAAGCGGCCCAGTATATCAACTGCAAGGGCTATTTCTCAATGGTGCTTCAGACCCTGGTCAACCACCATGGACAGTTCACAGATATTTTTGTCAGATGGTCAGGCAGGGCACAGGATGACCACATTTTTCGGAACTCCAGCCTCTACGGAAATCTGGAGATGGGCACATTCTTCCCTCTCTGTGACTCTGCAGTTGGGAATGTGCAGATGCCACTGTGCATCATAGGGGATGTGGCTTACCCCCTCATGACGTGGCTTATGAAGCTTTATCCTGGCCACCTGGATCCCAGCAGGGACCAATTTAATGCCCACCTCAACTGGGCCAGGATTCAGGTTGAGTGCGCCTTCAGCTACCTCAAAGCGCAGTTCAGTTGCCTCCTGACCCGCCTAGATGTGGGGGCGCACAACATTCCTGAATTGGTGTTGGAGTGTTGTGTCCTCCACAACATTGCGGAGAGGAAGAGGGAGGCCTTTCTCCCGGGGTGCGAGGCAGACGCTGGCCACCAGGGGAGACCCTTTGAGCAGCCGTGGACAGCTGCCATCTGCCAGGCCCATCAGGCTGGGGTGTGCATCCGGGAAGCCCTGAGGGAGAGTTTCTCTCAAGGACCCCAGTAACTCTCCCCAGGTCCTCCCCCCATGGGCTTCTGGCTTGCTGCACTATCCCTTTCACACCACAACCCCTTCTTTTGCCCCTCCCCTGACTTCTCAATAAAGACACCTTTTTGGTTTTGAGCAAAATAAACTCTGTATTGATCTTTCATTAAAAAAGCTGGGGAGAGGGGAAGGGGGCTCATAACCTGGAGGGGGAGTGGGCTCAGAGTGGCATTGGGGGGGAGGGCAGCTGGATGTGCCACCTCAGGTGTGTGGAACCTTGTTGGACTTGGGGTTGGCTGAGTCCTGGGACCACTGGGAGGTGGGCAGGAGGGGGGCTGTAGTGGGATCAGGGATGGCAGGGAGCATAGCATTGCTTGGAAGGGAGCAGAGGCATTGCTTGGGGGGCAAGGGGAGGGGGAATGGGCATAGCAGAGGGGACAGGTGAGTGATAGACAGGACCAACGATAGCAGTCGGGTATGCCATCGTGTCATGCGTGATGGCATACATTGTAGCCTATCAAGTTACTTTCCTATCATACTAATAATATGTTTGTGTTTAATTAGATTAATTCGGTAATACAGCCGCTCCCCGAGTTACGAACAAGTTACAGATCAACACTTGGTCCATAACTCGAAGTGTTCGTAACTCGGATCCCATAGAGTTACATGGTGACCACGCTGTTCGTAAGTGCGGATGGTTGTAAGTGGAGGTGGTCGTAACTCGGGGAACAGCTGTAGTTAAAAACTCTAATGCAAGAAATCTTCTAAAGCTGCCCTCAGAATTCCCGTAGGCCCTTTGTGTTAGCTTGACTGATGTCTGGGTTTAGGTGCCATACAGTAGGCCTTATGTCTGCCCAAGTTTGTGAAGGCTGCTAATACTAACACAGCAGCACTCAACTCCTTGGGGGAGGGCTTTGCCATTAACCCATCTGGGTACAGTACAGCCCAGTCCTAGTCTGCCTGGTGAGTCGAGTTCCCCTGCAGTGCAGTGGCTCCTGCTCTAGAGAATAACAAGATAGTACAGCCTCTAAATGCACTTTCCAATGAGTGCCATGTCTGCATTACAGTCAATTAAAAGACAGGCTTATACTTGAATAAGAGAACATACATAAGCTCACAGCCCAGGTCAAGTAATATGGGGTTATATTATATCTTTTGTCCATGCTGCAACAGGCCGTTTGCTAGATCAGCAGGAGCTGAGGTTTGCAGACTTCCGTGGTTGGGACACAGTCTCACCCAGATACTGGTTATAACTTATTTATGGTTTCCCGGGCCTGAAAAAAGGGAACTTGGGCCTGGACCTTTCACCCACACAGGATGGTGGGAACAAGACCCTCAGACTCAGCAGATGTATTATTAAATATAAGTCCCAAATAATTGGTTCAGGCTGAGTTAAGAAATTAGGACACAGGTTGTGATAAATAACCACAAAGACCCATGGCAACGAATTGACATATATGATAATAAGTTAAGAGCAATGATATATTGACCAATAGGAAAAGAACACTTCAGCATTAGAAACACCCCCTATTGAATATGCATAAAACATGTTATCGTCAGTGTCACTTGGTATAGAAGTGGGCCCCCAGCCCCAGGGGCTAGAAAAGCAGAAGATGTAGTCCTTGGAAGGGCCAGTATGATGGACCCTGGTCGTGATGGGGAAGGTGAAGGTAGTGAGAAGGATGATGGGCTAACACCCAAGATTGTTCTAGAAGGAATGATGTAAGTATATGGTAAGGAAATATGAATGTACATTCCCTGTCTTATGAACCTGAGGTGTTTGTGACTGTGGCAACCTTATTAATAAACTGTAAATATTGTAAATATACAAGAGTTTCTATATTGTGAGTGTTGTAACAGTGCACAACAGGGTTCCCAGTCATAGTGTAATTGAATACTGGGCCTGAGCCTGGGACAGAGAACCTGTTAACCCTAAAGGTGGGTAATTAGAATTTAACATAATCTTAGATGAGGCTATTGCACCACTGCATGAGCTGGTCCCACACACAGTTCTGCCACTCCAAGTCCTCTCGAGTTGTCTTCTGTGCCAGGGTCTGCTGCATGTCATGCAGGAGACCGGCATGCTGCCGCATCAGGTCTTCATGGACCCAGGCATGCTTTCAGGTCCTCTGGGCTTGGGTGGTGTGGCTCACCCCTCAAGCCTGGCTGTGGAGAATACAAAGAGGAAGAGGCGGTCAATCATCCATGCAGACCCTGTCTCTGAAGCCGTGCCCTCCTCTGTGAGCAGCGACCTACAGTCCTCAGGCCAGAGGAGAGGGATGTACTAGGAACAAGGCCATAAGTGGCCTGCATAGCAGGCCCTATCTCATGGGGGCCTCGAGGTGCCCGGGGGCCATACTGCTTGCTCCCCCCCTCCCCCCGGCCCTCAGATAAGCAGGCAAAGGAAGTGTCTGGCCACAGTGGGAACCCCTATGTGTGGAAGAGAAGCCAGGAGAAAGCCTGGCCCTCCTTGGGGTCCGCACACACACCTGCACCTTGCAGCACTGCCCGTGGGAGCAGGTGGTACCTTCCATGTGCAGGCATGCTTGTGTGCTGTGTGTGACACACCTGGGTGTGTCTGGGGTCATGCCTGTGCTCTTGTGGCTAGTCTGCTTCCAGCCATGGCAGGTACAGGGAGGGTGTCTTTCTCTCCCCTCCTTTGCCGCCCCCGCCAGGGCCAGACGTGTGTGTGTGGCCTCCCCTGAGCCTGGGAGCAGGATCCCGGGCATGCTCATGGGCTGCCTGCTGAGTCCACATTGTTCCACTTAATGGAGTGCAGCACGATGTCCAACCTGAGCAGGCCAAGCGACGCTTGTACCCCTTCCCCTCTGCGCCTGCCTCCCCTGCCCTGTGTGTGTGAGACAAACTCAGAGCACTCACCTGAAGACCCCTCCCTGGCAGCAGATGATGCCTGGGAGACATCCTGGCTCACAGCAACTGGCTCTAAGCACAGCATGATGGTGGCCGTCTCATCCTCCTCCTCCTGCTGCTGTCCCTCATCCACCTCCTCCATCATGGCCTGTAGCTGGGTGACAATGGGCGTGTTGAGCCCAGAGTCCACCACGATGGGTGGGGAAATGACTTCCCCACCCTCCAGGGTTTGGTGGAGCTCTGCATAGTAGGGGCAGGTGTGGGGCCCTGCCCTGGAGCGTGAGCTGCACTCTCTGGCCCTCATGTATCACTGGCGGTGCTCTTTCACCTCATGCCAGACCTGTTCCAAGGTCTCAGGTGGGTGTCAGTGCTCGGCCATCTGACCATAAATGTCTGCATTGCAGCGCTTGGAGTCAAGATCCTTCAGCGTCTCCTCCTCGCCCCACAGCTTGAGGAGGGACAGGATTTCCCCTCCGGACCACGAGGGTGCCCGCCTCTTGGTACCCCTTGGTGGGTCCTAGGAGCCCTGCTCATGCTCCCAGCGAGGGCCAGGAGGGGTTTTGGGGGGCTTGTGGATGTGCCATCATTGAGCAGGCCTGTGGCAGGGAAACCCATATGGTCAGGTACTGCTCCCAGAGCCGGCTTCCAGCCACAAGGCTTGTCCAGGGTGCCTGCAGCTTTAAGAGGGGCCAGAAATCAGGCCCTATAGAGTTGTGATTACTTTGGACGGAGTTTCCACCAAGGCACCTGTGTTATTTCCTGGAGGCCTTTTCTTTCAACAACAACAAGAAACTCCTCTTCCCTGTCCACACATGCCTTTTTCAGAAAAAGGCTTCTTCCTCAGAAAGAAGATTACTGCTGTCAGAAATCCTCTGTTCTTTTGATTTTCTTTCAAAAGAATGCGACTGCAGTGTGGACATAAATCAAGGGTTTTTTTCAGAAAAACAGCTGTTTTCTGAAAAAACTCTGTAGTGTAGACATAGCCTGAGCTTGGTAACGAGTCTCAATTCCTGCCTTTGACCCCAGCCCAGGAGTCACCACTGGCTCAGCTACTAAGCCCCAGCCATTACAGCGAGAGTGTCCTACAAAAAGCATGCTAACTTTCAGTAGCCAATCACAGTCTTCACAAATATGACAGATTATTTTTTTTCATATACAGATAATCCCAATGTAGCCATAGTCATAGTTTCCTGTATGTTACTAGATCACTGATATTATATTAATGGCAGCTATGATTAATTATTGTTAATTAAGCATTAGTTTGAAGAATGTTGAACTATTTAAATGGAATGACTCCACATAATATGCAGTGCCAAGTACATTATTATGGACCATGGTGTTTCATGTAGCAATCAGTTTTTACTTATGTTATCATAGATGCCTTCCAGGGCAGTAGAGTTAATTTGAATGAGATATTGCATTGAATTCAGCCTGGGAGATGGTATTCCTGCTAGGTATGGGCATTCTTTAGAATAGCTGCTTCACACTAAGAATTCTTTGTCGTCACCCTGGCTTTCAAAGTCATGCTTGGCAATCTTTTTGGATCATATACCTGCTCCTACATGCAGCGTTATGCTTGCAAACTTTGTTGGCCCTCTCCCCGTCAGTCCATTACTGAAAAGTCAAGCAACATTGGTGTCATTGAACAAAGAAAAGGGGGAGTATTAACCCAAACAGAAAGATGCTTTTTGTTACTTTAATACAGAAAACATTATAGTCAGGTAGTGTTATTAAATTATTCAATAAGATTATTTTCCATAATAGATGTATTCATAGAATCATAGAATACTAGAACTGGAAGGGACCTTGAGAAGTCATCAAGTCCAGTCCCCTGCCCTCATGGCAGGACCAAGCCCTGTCTAGACCATCCCTGATAGATGTCTATAAAACCTGCTCTTAAATATCTCCAGTGATGGAGATTCCACAATCTCTCTAGACAACTTATTCCAGTGTTTAACCATCCTGACAGTTAGGAAGTTTTTCCAAATGTCCAACCTTAAACTTCCCTTGCTGCAATTTAAGTCCATTGCTTCTTAGCCTATCATCAGAGGCCAAGAGAACAAATTTTCTCCCTTCTTCTAGTAACAACCTTTTAGATACTTGAAAATTGCTATCATGTCCACTCTCAGTCTTCTCTTTTCTAAACTAAACAAGCCCAATTCTTTCAGTCTTCCCTCATGGCTTATGTTCTCTAGACCTTTAATCATTTTTGTTGCTCTTCTCTGGACCCTCTCCAATTTCTCCACATCTTTCTTGAAATGTGGAGCCCAGAATTGGACACAGTACTGCAACTGAGGCCTAATCAACCCAGAGTAGAGCAGAAGAATGACTTCTCATGTCGTGCTCACAACACTCCTGTTAATGCATCCCAGAATCATGTTTGCTTTTTCTGCAACAGTGTCACACTGTTGACCAAATTTAGCTTATGGTGCACTATGACTCCTAGATCCCTTTCTGCAGTACTCCTTCCTAGATAGTTCCCATTCTGTATGTTTGAAACTGATTGTTCCTTCCTAAGTGGAGTGCTTTGCATTTGTCCTTATTAAACTTCATCCTATTTACCTCAGACCATTTCTCAAGTTGTCCATACCATTTTTTTAATTATGACCATTTTTTAATTATCCTCCTGAGTATTTGCAACCTCTTCCAGATTGGTATCATATGCAGACTTAATAATCATATTCTCTATGTCATCATCTAAATCATTGATGAAGGTATTAAACAGAACTGGTCCCAAAACAGACCCCTGTGGAACCATACTTGTTATGCCCTTCCAGTATGATTGTGAACCATTAATATCTATTCTCTGAGACTAGTTTTCCAACCAATTATGCACCCACCTTATAATAGCCCCATCTAGGTTGTATTTCCCTAGTTTATTGATTAGAAGGTTATGTGAGAACATATCAAATGCTTTACTAAAGTCTAAGTATGCCACATCCACCGCTTCTCTCTTATCCACAAGACTTGTTTTCCTGTCAAAGAAAGCTACAGATTGGTTTGACATGATTTGTTCTTGACAAATCCATGCTAGCTGTTATCTATCACCTTATTATCTTACAGTTGTATGTGAATGAATTCCTTAATTACTTGCTCCATTATCTTTCCTGGCACAGTCGTTAAACTGACTAGTCTGTAGTTTCCTTATTTCCCTTTTTATAGATGCACACTATATTTGCCCTTTTCCAGTCTTCTGGAATTTCTCCCGACTTTCATAACTTTTCAAAGATGATAGCTAAAGGCTCAGATACCTTCTCTGTCAGCTCCTTGAGTATTCTAGTATGCATTTTATTGGGCCCTGGTGACTTGAAGACATCTAACTTTTCTAAGTAATTTTTAACTTGTTCTTTTTTTATTTTAACTTCTAAGCCTACCCCATTCCCACTAGCATTGGACCCTAGCTTCTAAACCTACCTCATTTCCACTAGAATATGTTAGGCATCCCAGCACCATCAATCTTCTTGGAAAAAAATGAAACAAAGAAATTGTTAAATATCTCTTCCATTTCCATGTTTCCTGTTATTTTTCTTCCTCTTCACTGAACAATGGGCCTATCATTGGTCTTCCTCTTGCTTCTAATATATTTGTAGAATGTCTTCTTGTTACCCTAAAACAATTTGTTTTCATCATAGCATTCCTTCCTTCAGGACACTTGAATACAATAAGCAGGTCAATCGTTGGGCCTTTTTAAAAAAAATGCATCTTATACAATGAATACAAAACCACTCTTTATATAAATGGCAGAATCTGTGAAATCTTTTCTACATATTATTTCAAAGTAGCCACAGATTAATATTATATAGATCCGCAATGTCTGGTTACTATATTTTATTTTAATGAGTTAAACCCTCCTTCCACTTATGTCAGTGCAACTGCATTTTACTATATTTCACAGCCTGGGATTAGATAGGAGAAAAGATTTTGGCCCAGTGAGCTAAAAAAATGTCTTGCAATTTATGTCTAGAGTATGATTAAAATTTAAACATGATACATGTAAATATAATTGATCTTTGTCTCACATTACAGACACTTTATGTCAGTGAGGTGGTGAAAAGTTGCCTTAAAATGGGAGTAAATGATGTGTGTGCGCCAACTTTAAGTCCTCTTTACATGTCTAAAATTGTGTAAAGTAGGCTTCGCATAAATGAGAACTATGTCTATGTGGTTTGCAATGTGCATATCTTTTTCTGGGGAAAAAACAGAGTGTAGACATAGCCATAGTGGACTACATATCTTTCGACGTTTAGACTTCTAATTGCAGTCAAGTTACTGATTAGTAGAGGCCAAATGTCATTTCTGTGGCATGTCTGTTGAGTGCCCTATAGCAAAATGATTTTGTTGCCTCCATGTAGTTTCTAGTGCTCTACTATGATAATTGGCATCTACTTTGGCAGTCTTAGAAGAGAAACCAAATTTAAATGGCCCTGAAAAACCAATGCTACTGTCTTACTAGTAGAGATGACATTGGGAGGATGTTGTCCCAAAGCTGTAGATGATCGAGCACTGCTGCCACTTACGTATAAACTGTTAAATATATGATACACCACCTTGCATGACCTTCAATGTTATTTTTTAAAAAAATCAAAAACGGGGAGGGAGAGAAATGAACCTTTTGAATTTATGCAGAATAAGTTCCTAATGTACTTATCTTCATTTCTGCCTAGAAATGTATTTCATAAATGGCCAAGGTCTAGAATTTGTTCCCTAATTTCATTTTGTGCTACTTCTAAATGGGGTATATTAATTTATTTTTAATTTAAATCCCTTTCATTTTCTAATGGAGATGAGGGATAAACAGTTGGATCACCATGTTAAATGAAAGAAAACACTGTCTTACTGCTCACCCCTTCAAGCCATAACAAACAATTGATGCCAAGTTATTTTAAAAGGCAATTAATCCTATTATTGGTTTGTTGAATCAATACTAATGCATTTTTCCTATAATTTGCAGGTATTGGGAACACTGGCTGTCAGCAAAGTTGAGGTAGGAAATTCAGTTTTATGCTGTTGGTATGCACATGTGTGTGTTTTTAAAAATAAAACTGACTATGGTTCATAGGTACATGCTGCTGGATTGTCGATACGAGTTTGGTGATGAATGTTGCATGGTTTTGGATGTTAGGTGAAGGAGTTATCAGGTTGCATATTGCTTCAGAATTTTCACTATGTGGTTCTCTCCTCCCTATAATCGGTGTTCTGTTCCTGTTCTTGCAATTGACTTTTATGCTTCATGAATTCATGAAAGTTTTCTTCTGATTATATCTAAAAGTCCTAGCTACAGAAAAAGCACTTTCAGCTCCAGATTTAAAAATTGATATTATTCTGTTTCAGAATCCATTGATTTCCAAGGATTTCCAAAGAGTGTTTGTTTTTAAATTCCAGATACAATTCCAGCTATCAGCCCAAAGACATGAAAACCCCAGAAATCTCATTCTGGGGCTTTCAAGTCTTACTTTCAATGAATTGGTACTTTTGATATTTTCTTTTACGTATCATTTAGGAGTTAAGCTGAGAGAAATTGTACACCGATTATGTTTATCAGACATGCAATCTGGACAGCTACATTGCAAGGAAATTCAACTCATTAATGTTGCATGGATTTTATTGGATAAAATAATTACTAAAACCCAGTTAGCAGCCATATAACAATTATGAGGTAGTTGTTGCTCTCCTTTAACTGTGTAAAACAAAGTAGCTAATAAACACCCTTCAAGAGTATTCTTGCATTTAAAGTTTTACAGCTAATGGCATATAATTTGGATTTTTAAATACAGAACATTCCCATTTATCTGAAAAGTCTGGACAACATCTGAGAGCTCTAAATACCAAGTTTTTGGTAAAGGGAAGTGGCATTTTGAGGTGTAATTTGACATGGGGAACACACTGTGGATTCAGATGGATTTTTGGATAAAGGGAATATGGATAACTGGAATTTGTAACTAATAAAAACAACACTTCATGGCAACTTATGTGTGACACCTGTGTTTACATTTGTTTCTGTGGCATCTCAGTCCCTGTGCTTTTAATAATCAAGTAATATTTTTATTCAGGGCACAGTTACTGGCTCATTTAAATGTAATGTCAATTGGAAACTCAGAGTGTTTCCATATGAAACTGGTCTTAGACTCACAGTAGGGAATTTATGATGTTCTCAAAAGCTAATGTTTAACTGTTACAAAATGTCTAGGTGACTCCAACTGCTACAGTCAGATAAATTTTTAATATGATCCTTTGGTAAATTAAATTGCATTATTAAAGAGAACAGACAAGCCACACTAGTTAACTTGAAGAGTAAGGACACATGGTCATTTGCATACTGTAAAACGGGTGGGAAATCTCAGGCCCGGGGGGACGGATGCGGCCCCCAGCTTGCCTGGAGCTGGCCCCTGAGGCTCAACTTTGGGGAGGCTGCACTGGTGCTCCAGCCTCCCTGCCACTTACCCATAGGGCTGGAACACACAAAAACTACTCACCTGGGCCCCTCAGGCTCCAGTGTGCAAGGGGAATATGGGGAGCATCTTTCTCCTTCTCAGTCAGGAGCTTCTTGCTTGTGTGTGGACCCCAACTAGTTTTTTCTGTGGGTCAGCAACCCCTGACCCAGAAAAGGTTCCCCACCCTTGCTGTAAAAGAATGATATATTACACATTATTCTTAATAGCATTACCTGTCCCACTGTGGTGGTAGACATACACCTGCCTCCTCCCTACCCGCTGTTCCCGGGGGCGGGGAAGCTTGGGCCACATGGCTGCCTGCCTTCCCACTACTCTGAGGCTGGGGAGGCTTGGGCCTCGTGGCTTCTTCCCTCCCTGTTGCTCCTGGGGGTGGGAGGGTAGGAGCCATTCATCCTCTTCCCTCAACCCTGTTCCTGGGGGGCTGAGGTGCACATATATGCACCCTTCCCATCCCTTTGGTGGGGGGGGATGTGCACGTGCTCCACATGCTGCTCCATCTCCTCCCCTCCCTGTGGTGGGGGTGGGGCCTCAGCAGAGGGGGCAGGGCTGGGGGCCTGCCTCCCCCTAGAAACTTCTCAAGTCTTCTCAAATTTTCTCCGTGACAGGCAGCATGAAGGACACCGCTCCTTTTCTAATAGTATAGATTTTAGCTTTAAAGTACTGTATTTGGGACAGGCCCAGCTTGTTTTGCTCATATGAGTACTAGAACTTCAAAGGGAGTAGTGTGAGCAGGATTTGCCTCAGTTTTGGTCATTAGAATGGGGCTGCAGTGATATATAAAAACAAACTCTCACTCTGGTTTACATTCACTTCTCTGATTTTTTTTTCTTGTGTTTAAAATTGTCATTCTACAAGAAATATTTTCAGTTTTGCTCCTTGAGCAAATGTTCTATTCTGTTGTTGTTAATTTTGAAAATGTTCCCCATTACAATAATGACTCTTGAGCTAGACTGTGTAAAATTCTATGAACATTGTCAGTTTTCTATGATATCTTGTCAGTTTTGTCGGATGGCATTTTGGTAACAGTTTCAAATTTCTATCTTAAAGGGTTAGCAATTTTGGCACTTGCTTTAAATAAAAACCTTTATGAATAGTTTTTGTGTGCTTCAGGTCATGAAAATGCTAACTAAACAGGGCACACTTATTATGGGAGAGTATAGCCACAATTTAGGAATCACTTAAGCCTGCATGTGCTCAAGTCCCATTGAAGACAAAGCATGCTTAAGTGTTTTTCTGAATCAGGGCAGAAGTGTTTATTATTATGAGAAGTCCTACTGAATTCATTGGAACTACTCACCGAGATAATTACTTCATCTATTAACAGTGGTTGCAAGAAAGGGTCCACAGTTTTTGAACTGCATGCAGCAGAATATTTGAGTAAAAATCCTGGAACCTTTGAAGTCAAGGGCAAATTTCACCTTTTGTGTTTATGGAATAAACTATGCATAATGTATGAAGTGTTTTTGTAGCCATGTCTGTTCCAGGATATTAGAGAGACAAAGTGGGTGAGATTATTGGACCAATGTCTGTTGAAGAATTGTGTAAGTTTCTCAGAGCAGGAGTACTCTGTAGGTACGTCTAGACAGTGGGGCTATTTTGGGATACCAGAGGTATCCCGAAATAACTACCCCGCATCTTTTAAACGTGCCTGTTATGTCAAAATATCTTTCAAAATAATGGACATGCTATTTTGGCATCCCTGTAGCCCTCGTTCCAAGAGGGTTGTGTCGAACTAGCGTGTTATTTCAAAATTTGGTGCTGTGTAGATATGCCAAATTTCGAAATAAGCTATTTAAAAATATGGTCAAAATCAGATATGCAATTCACATAGTGCAAATTTTGTATCTTATTTTGAGTTTTGAGTGCTGTGTAGACACACCCTTGGTAAGGTATAAAACTTTGCCTCTCTCCCCAACGGAAGATGGTTCAATAAAAGATATGACCTCACCCATCTTGTCTCTTTAACATGCATAATATCTTACAAAGTTGTGATATTCTATTGATGGTAATTAGTTGAGCATCTAGTTTTTATGTATGACAAGTCAATGTTTCCCAAATTTGACAGTACAGCCGGTCCCCAAGTTACGAACTGGTTATGGACCAAATACTTGGCCGTAACTCGAAATGTTCATAAGTTGTACCCCATTGAATTACATTGCGACTGTGCTGTTTGTAAGCACAGGTCACATTTGTAACTCAGGGACTGCCTTTATGACCGCTTAATGGGAGGTTTGGTCGTAAATGCGAATGGTCGTAAATCGGCTGTTCATAACTCGGGGACCGGCTGTGTATGTTTGTTCAGTTTTGACTTTGCTTCATATTAAGCTCACATTCTACTCCAACACAAAGAAAGTAGGCAGGGAACCTATATCAAATTCAGATTTCACCCATCTATCTCGATTGGCTCTCGTGGCCCCCTGGCCAATACCTTTGCTAGGTACCTGAATTAACCATTTAGTTACATGACAGGGTTATATAAAGATGACAGCTTTTTACTAGGCTCATGCAATAATTAATTCAGTCAAGTTAATTGTTTGTTACTATGTAATACTTGTTTCCTTGAGTCTGTTGTCTGTTCTTAAAAACTGGAGCTTAAACCTGTGCAAAGCGATTTCATATTATTTTGCTTTCTAAAGGCTTCATTTTTATAGGCTTCTGTTCCTGAACCATGCATCCATGCAGACTTATGGATATGACACCCATAAAAACCTGAAGGAAAAAGCTATCATGTTTTCATCTTGGTTTAATATTTCAGAACGAGGAAAACAATATTTTTTCAAAGTCTAGTTGCCACAACCCAGCTGCAGAGAAATAAGTATGTGTAGAAGGAGATGTCAAGTAATCCAGACACCTTTCTTCCATATTTGAACACTGAAGTGTAACAAATACTGACAGAGTCAACCATTCAGGCAGTGAAGCCTTCCGTGAATAAATTCTAAATTTACCCATACTATATCTTTTAATGTCCCTAGTCTTGTAAATATTCAAATTACAAGCCTTTTACAAATAATATCTTGTGCATATACATTGTAATAAAAAGATTTTTATCACAAATGGCTCAGCACTCTTCTGCAATAATGCAATTAATGGGGCATAGTAATGTCATTACAATATAGGCTTCAGAACAAACTAGAAGGCAGCTATGAATTATCTAAATTACAATAATATATAGCATTTTGCAATTAGATTTTCTCAGAATGCGGGAATGAAAGTTCTCAAATCTCTACAGTTTGGGGGGCAAATGCATTGTTGGGCAGACTCACAGATGTCTATTAAAACTCAAAGTGAATCCGGGCTATGCTAATCTTTTTTGAGAGGAATGAACATTATTTTAAAAATTAATGTGGAGCCATAGTTACAAAATAACTTTACACTCTGCCCCTACATTGTACAATTTTAAATGTATTTTTCAACTGTAAAGGTTGTTTTCATTATGTGTTTACCTGGACTAAATAATGTTTTAGAAGCCAGTAATGTTCTGTGCTACTTTTGAAGGTAGGCAAATCAGATAGGATGTTTCTGCTGTAAAGGAATACCCTAAGGCAGTGTTTCCCAAACTATGGGCCACGGCCCGGTACCGAACCGTGGGAAAAAAGTACCGGGCCTCAGCATGCTTGCTGGGGTGCTCTGGCCTTCCGGAGTGCGCGGGCGGCACTGGGTCCCCCAAGCCCTGAAGCAGGTTGGGCAGAAGATGCAGCCAGATGTTCCAGGCTCCTGGCACAGAGGCGTAGCAAGGGGGGAGGGGAGAAGTTGCCCCGGGGCACCACGCTAGGCAGAGGCATAGCGAGGGAGAGGAATGGGGGGGGGGGGGGCAGTTGCCCCAGGCACCACAGTAGGGAGGTGCCAAGCTGGGGTGGGAGCAGAGCGCACAGCACCATGAGTTGTGGCGAGTGGCGAACCTGGTCTGTATGGAAATGCTCCCTGTAAGACTGTGCTACTTCTGATAGCAGTTTCCTATAGGAGCATTTCCTTACAATCGTACAGATAAGAAAATGCTCCCAGTAGCACATTCCTATAAGGTAACAGCTTTCTATAGTACATGAGCACTGTCGGGCCATGTGCAATCAAGCCTCCAAGGCAGGGCCAAGCTGTAGGAGCAGCCACTGTAAAGGTAGAGTTACCCTGCCTGGCTCTGTGGAAGGGGGAGAGGGATTGGGCTAGGGCAGGGAAGCTGGGGGTGCCTAGCTCTGGGGGATAGGCATTGGATTAGAGTGGGGTGGGTGGGGGTATAGAGTGGGGGGGCATTAGGTTGGAGCAAAGGGTCTGGGGATGCTTGGATCTGGAGGAGGGGTGGGTTCATTGGGGATACTTATAATTTTTAATAGGGTACTTTATAAAAAAAAGTTGAAAAACACTCCTTTAAACCAGTGTTTCTCAACCAGTGGTATGAATACCCCATAGGGGTACTTGAGAGAAGTCGGGGCGGTACATCAACACAACTGAAATTTGGAGAAAACTGAATTTTTGGTTTAAGTTATTCAGTGCTTTATTATTTTTGTACTTTTTACACCCAAAAATTTCATCAACCACCCAGCTATGATTACGTTATTTAAACAAATGTGTTGCAATGGTAGAAAAAAATTTTGTGTGTCTGAAAACTGCTGCGGGTACTGATAATTTTTTTAAAGTGGGGTACTTTATAAAAAGAAGTTTGAGAAAACACTGCTCCAAACCATTCCTGTTGGCCTCTCTGTTTCCTTTCTCCTTTGGAAAGTTGGGCAGGTAGTAGTTTTGGTAAAAATATATCAGACATGTGCACACAGTGCCCTCTCTACCTCAATTCATGCTGGATAATCCGGGCCTCAGTTCTAAAGGTGATGTTGTGGATAGTGCATGGAGGGGCTTGCCCAAAACTGGAGGGGGTGGGGGAAGATGCAGTACAAGCTCTCCCCTTCCTCTCAGGGTCCTGCTCAGCCATGCGCCTGGTTCAGGGCCCTGCCCCGTGGTCCTACTAGCCAGCTTATATCCATTTGTTCTTGTGTCTACATTGGTATTAAACTTAAATAATTCCTCTCCCTCCCTGGTATTTATCCCTCTAATATATTTAAAAAGTGCAATCATGTCCCCCCTCAGCCTTTTTTGGTTAAAGTAAATAAGCCAAGCTCCTTGAGTCTCCCATCATAAGACAGGTTTTCCATTCCTCGGATCATCCT